GGCGTAATTTGGCTCCAAAAAGGGCGAAACTTGGGGTTTTGAAATTTCATTCTGTAATGTTTCGAACGGTATAGGTCACGTCAATTCACTCCGACATCTCTAATTCACTTTATTTTTTATTAGTGCCTAGTGTAATATCAGAGTGTTTGGCCTGGTACGGGCGTAATATGGCTCCAAAAAGGGCGAAACTTGGGGTTTTGAAATTTCATTCTGTAAGGTTTCGAACGGTATAGGTCACGTCAATTCACTCCGACATCTCTAATTCACTTTATTTTTTATTAGTGCCTAGTGTAATGTCAGAGTGTTCGGCCTGGTACGGGCGTAATTTGGCTCCAAAAAGGGCGAAACTTGGGGTTTTGAAATTTCATTCTGTAATGTTTCGAACGGTATAGGTCACGTCAATTCACTCCGACATCTCTAATTCACTTTATTTTTTATTAGTGCCTAGTGTAATATCAGAGTGTTTGGCCTGGTACGGGCGTAATTTGGCTCCAAAAAGGGCGAAACTTGGGGTTTTGAAATTTCATTCTGTAATGTTTCGAACGGTATAGGTCACGTCAATTCACTCCGACATCTCTAATTCACTTTATTTTTTATTAGTGCCTAGTGTAATATCAGAGTGTTTGGCCTGGTACGGGCGTAATATGGCTCCAAAAAGGGCGAAACTTGGGGTTTTGAAATTTCATTCTGTAAGGTTTCGAACGGTATAGGTCACGTCAATTCACTCCGACATCTCTAATTCACTTTATTTTTTATTAGTGCCTAGTGTAATGTCAGAGTGTTCGGCCTGGTACGGGCGTAATTTGGCTCCAAAAAGGGCGAAACTTGGGGTTTTGAAATTTCATTCTGTAAGGTTTCGAACGGTATAGGTCACGTCAATTCACTCCGACATCTCTAATTCACTTTATTTTTTATTAGTGCCTAGTGTAATATCAGAGTGTTCGGCCTGGTACGGGCGTAATTTGGCTCCAAAAAGGGCGAAACTTGGGGTTTTGAAATTTCATTCTGTAAGGTTTCGAACGGTATAGGTCACGTCAATTCACTCCGACATCTCTAATTCACTTTATTTTTTATTAGTGCCTAGTGTAATATCAGAGTGTTTGGCCTGGTACGGGCGTAATTTGGCTCCAAAAAGGGCGAAACTTGGGGTTTTGAAATTTCATTCTGTAAGGTTTCGAACGGTATAGGTCACGTCAATTCACTCCGACATCTCTAATTCACTTTATTTTTTATTAGTGCCTAGTGTAATATCAGAGTGTTCGGCCTGGTACGGGCGTAATTTGGCTCCAAAAAGGGCGAAACTTGGGGTTTTGAAATTTCATTCTGTAATGTTTCGAACGGTATAGGTCACGTCAATTCACTCCGACATCTCTAATTCACTTTATTTTTTATTAGTGCCTAGTGTAATATCAGAGTGTTTGGCCTGGTACGGGCGTAATTTGGCTCCAAAAAGGGCGAAACTTGGGGTTTTGAAATTTCATTCTGTAATGTTTCGAACGGTATAGGTCACGTCAATTCACTCCGACATCTCTAATTCACTTTATTTTTTATTAGTGCCTAGTGTAATATCAGAGTGTTTGGCCTGGTACGGGCGTAATATGGCTCCAAAAAGGGCGAAACTTGGGGTTTTGAAATTTCATTCTGTAAGGTTTCGAACGGTATAGGTCACGTCAATTCACTCCGACATCTCTAATTCACTTTATTTTTTATTAGTGCCTAGTGTAATGTCAGAGTGTTCGGCCTGGTACGGGCGTAATTTGGCTCCAAAAAGGGCGAAACTTGGGGTTTTGAAATTTCATTCTGTAAGGTTTCGAACGGTATAGGTCACGTCAATTCACTCCGACATCTCTAATTCACTTTATTTTTTATTAGTGCCTAGTGTAATATCAGAGTGTTTGGCCTGGTACGGGCGTAATTTGGCTCCAAAAAGGGCGAAACTTGGGGTTTTGAAATTTCATTCTGTAATGTTTCGAACGGTATAGGTCACGTCAATTCACTCCGACATCTCTAATTCACTTTATTTTTTATTAGTGCCTAGTGTAATATCAGAGTGTTTGGCCTGGTACGGGCGTAATTTGGCTCCAAAAAGGGCGAAACTTGGGGTTTTGAAATTTCATTCTGTAATGTTTCGAACGGTATAGGTCACGTCAATTCACTCCGACATCTCTAATTCACTTTATTTTTTATTAGTGCCTAGTGTAATATCAGAGTGTTTGGCCTGGTACGGGCGTAATATGGCTCCAAAAAGGGCGAAACTTGGGGTTTTGAAATTTCATTCTGTAAGGTTTCGAACGGTATAGGTCACGTCAATTCACTCCGACATCTCTAATTCACTTTATTTTTTATTAGTGCCTAGTGTAATGTCAGAGTGTTCGGCCTGGTACGGGCGTAATTTGGCTCCAAAAAGGGCGAAACTTGGGGTTTTGAAATTTCATTCTGTAAGGTTTCGAACGGTATAGGTCACGTCAATTCACTCCGACATCTCTAATTCACTTTATTTTTTATTAGTGCCTAGTGTAATATCAGAGTGTTTGGCCTGGTACGGGCGTAATTTGGCTCCAAAAAGGGCGAAACTTGGGGTTTTGAAATTTCATTCTGTAATGTTTCGAACGGTATAGGTCACGTCAATTCACTCCGACATCTCTAATTCACTTTATTTTTTATTAGTGCCTAGTGTAATGTCAGAGTGTTCGGCCTGGTACGGGCGTAATTTGGCTCCAAAAAGGGCGAAACTTGGGGTTTTGAAATTTCATTCTGTAAGGTTTCGAACGGTATAGGTCACGTCAATTCACTCCGACATCTCTAATTCACTTTATTTTTTATTAGTGCCTAGTGTAATATCAGAGTGTTTGGCCTGGTACGGGCGTAATTTGGCTCCAAAAAGGGCGAAAGTTGGGGTTTTGAAATTTCATTCTGTAATGTTTCGAACGGTATAGGTCACGTCAATTCACTCCGACATCTCTAATTCACTTTATTTTTTATTAGTGCCTAGTGTAATGTCAGAGTGTTCGGCCTGGTACGGGCGTAATTTGGCTCCAAAAAGGGCGAAACTTGGGGTTTTGAAATTTCATTCTGTAATGTTTCGAACGGTATAGGTCACATCAATTCACTCCGACATCTCTAATTCACTTTATTTTTTATTAGTGCCTAGTGTAATGTCAGAGTGTTCGGCCTGGTACGGGCGTAATTTGGCTCCAAAAAGGGCGAAACTTGGGGTTTTGAAATTTCATTCTGTAATGTTTCGAACGGTATAGGTCACGTCAATTCACTCCGACATCTCTAATTCACTTTATTTTTTATTAGTGCCTAGTGTAATATCAGAGTGTTTGGCCTGGTACAGGCGTAATTTGGCTCCAAAAAAGGCGTTTTAGTTCAAGACTAATTTTTGGTGTTTCCCGAGTTTTTTCTAATTGTGACCTAGAAACCTAGCATGTAATTACTAGAACAAGCGCACTTTGTTTCCACGGAGGGCGCAATCAAAATAATGTGAAGCAATTTTCGCTCCATCTTAACGCGGATATCCATGGAAACCCCCGGTTTTTGCATATTCATAAAGCACTTCTGGACGGGTTTGCCGCCGGAAATCCCTGTTTGAAACCTTTTTCGAAAAGTATTTGAGGTTTAGAACGAAAGCCGACTGGCATTCTGGATGTCTTAGATCTGAACTAATTTCAAATTCAAAATTTTTGGTTATGATGACAACTAAACTCCGTCATAAAATTTCCGTGGTATACACAAACCGAAATTTTTCCACGGAATCCTTTTGTGATCCTGTTTTCTGCTTTTTTAGGTTTTTTTTGCTTTTACTATGTGAGGTAATCGATTTTCGATCATATGGGAGAAGTATGGAAGGAAGAAGAGGAATTTATGGGGAACGCTCGCTCTAAACTTCTGAGCTCTTGCCTTCGGACGTTGAGGATTTGGGGTTGTTTATAACAGCGGACAATGGGGATACTCACAAATGAAAATGGCGTGTCGGCAGCGATTTTTGTTTTGGAATTTTTGTTTTGAATGGCTTATAGGGCAACTTTTGACCGACAGATGTTGATGAAAAGAATTTGACTATGGTCCGATTTATGAATATGGAGAAAAAGAGCTTCCTCTTTAAAGATGATCGTCTACTTATTTTACCTTATTGCCCCCTCTTCGTTAATATCGGCGTTATGACTTCTCCAACCTCTCTCGACGCCCCCTCTCCTCATCATCAAAATTTGATGTCGCAAATGCTGCGAGACTCTTGATTTCGCACCTTTTTCTGGGAGTCGTTTTTATAACTTTCTCCTTCCCCCTTCTTCCATCGATGTCCTTGAGTGCGCGCCGTTTCATAGCGCGAGATATAATGCTGGGGAATGATGGGGGGTTTCAGGTAGAGACCCCTTCCTCAGGTGCTTCCATCCCCTTTTTGTCTTTCCAGCCGTCTTCCCGGAATTACGCAAATTTTTGGAATTGTTGAGCGATTTCGGGGGATATCGATTTGTGAGAGGGAATCCGAGGCAATTTTGATGTTTGAAAAGTAATTTTTGGCGTTTAAACCTGTCAGTAAGGCAGTAGAAAACAGAAGAGGGGATTTTCCATGTATCAGTAGCTTTTACTTCTTGTTTATTATCATGATTTCTTAGAAATTTTATACAATAAGATTTCAAAAAAGCGATGATTTTTGGTATTTGGTGTTTTATAAAGTGTTTTCGGAAATTTGAACTTGTGTCTGGGGCTATTTAGGACAGCAGATTGTATTTTTACATTGCAATTTCTTTTGTTTTTTTCTGAATTTTTTGAAAAGCTGGAGTTTTTGAGTTTTGATGATCAAAGACGCTCAAAAGTGAACTTTCAACAAAGAAAATTTTTTCGACTCAACTTTTTTATTTTTCACCCAAAAATCATCAAATTTTTATTTTTCCAGCTTTTCCCATATCTTGTCCGATTTTTACTTTTAAAATTTTCATTTACATTTTGCGGAGCAGTTCGTATTTTACATTCTTCTTCAACTTCCAGCCCACTAAATGCCGTTGGACTTCAGCACACCGCATTCTCGGATAGAACTGGGGACCTTTATCTTGACTGCCATCTCTTTCTTCTTCAACTTCTTTGCGTTGCTCACCCCCAATTGGCATGTAAGTCGAATCGTTCGTTTAGGAAAGTAAAAACGTGGCAAAAAAAGTAAACAAAAATGTTTGGAGGTAACTCGGAAAAAGGTTTGAAGGGTTTGAAGTTAGGCTTGACGCAAAAACAAAAAGTAATTAGTGACAAAAAAACTGAGAAGAAGCCGTTTTGCTCGCGCTTTGCAGAAACTACCTTGATTTTTTCGTTAATTTTTTAAAGCTGTCAAAAACTCTAAACTATTTTGCGTTTTGTTTGGTCTAATATTTGCGGCTTATTTTTACAAAAAATTTCAAAAAACTGTTTTCCAGGTCGCCGAAGACCTCGACGCCCACCGAGATGTCCAATCCGGTCTTTGGCAATACTGCCAAGGCGGCCAAAGTTGTTGGTACATTTTCTCGGACGATTTGGTCAATTACTACGAACGAGCCGACATTTGTCGTTTTCTTTTGATTTACGATTGCCGTAAGAAGCTTCTGAGGACTCCGTATTTCTTCGGCTGGCATTATGCAGTCCTGATTATGATGATTATTGCTGTTGTGGGAACCGCGATAGCGTTGGCGATTGGAATATTGGGGCATTTCAAAGAGCATTGGAGGAAAGTGGCTAACATTGTGGTGGTCAGCTTGCTGGCTTTGGCTGGTAAGTGGAATGTTAAGTTTGGAAATCTGCAGCAAGTTTTATAGGGATTGTTTTTCCCATTTCTGTAAGAGATTTTAATAATCAAGCTTAAAATTTATGGCTAATAATTTTTTTCATTTTGCTATTGTCATCATATAAAAAGAACTAAAAAAAAGCGTATTTTAAAAGAAGTTTTCAAATCTCTTTTTCAGTTCTGATCGAAGGAATTGGCCTCGCCGTCTTCATGATCAACGGCGAAATGTTGGAATCGCGCTATTTGATCGGGATTAAAAACACTTTCGAAAAACATTATGGTTATTCCTTCTACCTGGCCTTTTTCGGCTGTACGATCCTTATGTTTGCCATGTTTGCTGCTCTGTTCGCTGCTTCGTATCCATTATTTTTCAACGAAGATGATCATGACCTTTCTTCGTCCGTTGATCCCGCTAAATATGTGTTAGAGCCCAACGGAAGGCTTGTCTCGCAAGCCGAATACAACTACAATGCTGCGAGAAATGCAGCGTTGGGCACGACGATTCCGGCGCAGAGGCAATCGCCTCCTCAATATTCACCGGGATATCAGCCAAGTTTGGTGTCGGGACAAACAAGGACGTTTTTGAGCTATTGAAAAACGTTTTCTTACATTAGTGTAGACTGAAGAGAAATTCTCCAAGTTATATCTATTTTTATGAAACTTGTTTGCGTATTTCTTCAAAAATTTTAATCAAACCTTATCTAAGTTTCATCAAAAGCACTTGGAGCATTCCCTCTCTTAAGTATTTTTCAACTTTTTTTGAATCTAGGGAAGATATCTCAGGAACCAGGACTTACTGTATATTAGCCATAATAATCAGAGATTTTAACGGATTTCAAATTAATATTATAAAATTCAATTGTTTGCTCATTTCTGTTATATTTTATAACCCCTGCTCTAACAATAACATTAGAGTTGTATAAAATATAAAATAAACAAGTTGCACGCAATCGGTATGAATTTGTTTTTTTATCACCCTCCCGTAAAGCCGGGGCTGATTCAGACGCCCCAAGGAATGCAATTTCTTTGGAAGCCGTTTCTTCAAATTCTCTTTTTTCCTATATCAATCGCGAGTAGATCTTGCGGAATTTAGATTTTTGTTGTATTAATCTTTTTATTTCTTCTGCTATATGAGTGTTAAGGTAAGAGGTAATTTTATGCTGAGTTTTACCACTTATTTCAATGAGAGAATGAATCAATAAAGATCATAAAATTTGTCAATTTTTTCCAGCATGCATTTTTTGATTTCCAAATTTTAGAATTCGTCGTTAGTGATCGCCGCATTGACAACTATCTTTGGGATTTTGGCATGGGTCTATTTGTTTGTGGAATATTACAGTGATCCGAAATGTAGGCCGATTCTTAAGGTTTTGTTTGTTACATCGCCCTCAGAATGTGAACAAACTGTTTTTAGACTTTCAGAAACTTCAAAATATCACCTTTGTCGGCTCATTCTTCTTGCCCGGTAAGTTATTTTGCGTTTTTTTTATTAAACCATAACCCTATGATGGTTTTTTAACGGTTTAGTTAGCGTGCAACGATCTCTGATGTTCGTCGAGTGTTGTTTCTTATTTTGTGGACTCCAGTTACTTGTGGGAGTCGTCTTTCGAATGTGGTTCTTGTATCTGCCGTATCTTGTTGCTTCGGTAAGTCAAGCGCTACTCTTTTTTTAATGAGGAATTTGGGTAGACTCAAGTAAAAATTTCAGTCGTTTCTGCAGAACGCGGGTTATATGCCTCGCATAAATCCTACTAACAATAAAATAAAAAGTAAAATAAAAAGTTGCGGCAAGTTTTTTCAAAATCTGTACGTCCCACTTGGAGTACTTCCCTCTGTTAGACATACATACGCTATTTTCACAACATTTGTTTTTTTCAGTTAGTCCGGCCTCCAGTCTTCCTCACCGGTGGGATTGCCTGCATTTTCGCAGGTGCTCTTGAACTTCTCGATGGTGATCCGGATTATCATGCAGAGAAAACCTGGGATCAACCGTCTTTTCAATTTTTCGCCGGAGTTTTCACATTGGTCTACATGTTCATTCAAATATTCATGTTTCTTGTGATTTATAGGGATTTTAACGATGTCAAAGCGATGGGACTGTCGCCGCGACAGAAGAAATTTATCAATCGAATTGCGAATTTAACAACGAAACAATTTTGAGAATTGAAAAATAAATTGAGATTCGGGTGATGAGAAGTGCAAGATTGCAAATTGATGACTCTGGGAGCAGAATCTGATAAAATGAGTACAAATGAATAATATTATAAATGTCATCGGTTCCTTCGAAATCTGCCGATTAAAAGGGACTTGAACAAACCTTTTCGCTTGGTTTTTTTGACAGCCATGACGTTTGGGGTGTGCTGGATTTCCCAGTTAAGCGGAATTCCATGTCTGCAGCTGATTTCGATGCAGAAATCGCGCATTTCCGGCGACAGTTCGGAGGGATTGAGGTCTGATGATGGTGAGGAGAGCTTGCGGACGAGGTGATGACGTAGCCGGCGTTTTCGACGTTCAACGATCTGAAAAAGATAAACGGTAAAGTAAAATATTGAATGAAAAATTTGTAACGAAATACAGTTATGGATTTTCTTCAAAATTTTTAAATTTTTTTGTTTACATACATAGACCAGTTCTATGTAAATTAAAAAAAGTTTTTTACAGCACTCACCTCTTCATCACAGACCCACAATCCACACCGATTCAACGCTTCCGTGGTTCGTATATCCTCAAATTCGCATTCCTCCACACTCTTCATCCTGATCAGCCGGCCTTTCTTCTGGCCCATGACGTGTTCCATCGCCTTTCCAATATCAAAACGATCATTTATAACCTGGCTTCTTCCTTATATACCTGACAATAAAATCTCGAGACACAGATGTGTCCGTTCATTTGCATTTCCATCAGATTCCAAAGACGGAAATTCCAGAATAATTGAATCTTAAAGGCGCTTGAAAATAGAATCGCAAGGAATCCCTGAACGAAACAGATGACCGAATATGAAAGGTTGATTATTTGGAAAAATGGCGACCAACTGATTAGCATAAGACCGAGAAAGGTCAACGGAGTTAGCGAGAGAAAAATGGCTTAAGCAGAGTCACGTATATAGGTCAAGCGCTTCATTGTTGTCCCAAGACAACCTCAAAAAAAGTGTAATGTTGATGTCATTTACCATCGGAAAACACGCTAGTTGAGCAGAGAAATGTATGAAAAACAAATCTTTTCGGAGCTCCAATTTGTAACACCGCTGTACTAAGACTACGTTAGTCCTACGATCAGGGCTACAAAGTATAAATTGTCATCAAATAATTGTAAATCATTTCTCAGTATTTGTAGCCTAATTTTTCTGAAACCCATTTACAGACTTTGAATTTCAAAACTCACGCATTCGGGATGTGTTGTTATTGTAACATTTTAGGCCATTCGGAAGTAGACATTTGTATTTTTTTCCATAAACACGCGAGTTGTAGACAATCTTCACAGAAAATCCATTTCTCTTTATTTTTTGTGGCGTTAATGAAGTTGTTGTAACTATATTTTGACTTCACAAGACTTAAGATTTTATGGCCATGATCGGCCATTTCAGCGGCCCGTCTGAGAATAATCCCTACGCATGGGATGATGACTTTTCTTATGTTCAATATAGTGTGACCGCCGCGACGTATCAAGACATTTTGTTCTACAGCAAAATCTTTCACAATGTTTGCTTTGCAATTGGAACATTTCTTTCATTGCTATTATTGTATTTGATATTCAAAAAGAACGGGAAAATGCTGCAGAACTATCGAACGATGCTGATTTTCAACTGCTTCGTGGATATGCAGATCTGTTTGGCGGTTTACTTGGGCCAATATGTAGGTAGTCTTACTGGTAACAACTAATGCAATTTTTTTGCTATAATTTACAACTTACTTTCAGTCCACAAAAGCGATAGATAACTTGTTTATGTCATCGTTTGATGGAATTGGACAGCATCTTGGTTTTACCGGCCAGTGTGCGTTGATGTCATTTTTTACATTGAGCATCAACGTGGTCATTACAAGTTTGCCGGCCAATTACTATTATCGATACATCTGCATCAAACGGTAAGTTGTAAAATTCAGGGCTTTTCAAAGTTTCATCTATATGCAATTCTCTTGAAATAAGTTTTTACTTTAGTGGAAGACCTTTGTCCTTCTGCGGGGTACTTCTTCTCTACTCCATTGTTTATGCGGTCACTCTACCCACAATGATATGGACACTCTTCTCCTTCCATTATGATGGCCTCTCTCGGCCTGGATTTAACTATGGATCCCTTTGGTTTAATGTGAAGCCCTTACCGACAATTCTGATCCTCAACTTTGTACGTGAAATTGATCAAATTGTAATGCTTCAATTACCACGTATATTTTAGCATTTGCCTCACACCAAATTCTTTATGATTTACGTCTTTATTTGCTACGGAATCGCCTACTCTTTATCCATATCATTTGCTGTGAAAACATGGAGAATCCTCGGCACAGATAAAGCCAAATACAGTCAACGAACACTGCAGATGCAAACTCAACTTTCTGTGGCGATGCTGGTACAGGTAAATCATAAATCAGAATGCAAAATACGACGCTAATCTTTTAGGCAATCCTTCCCGTATTCATCTCGCTGGGACCTTCGGTCCTGATGATAATTGAGATCGCGTTTGGGTTCAACTGGGACATTGTAACCACGATTGCATTCAATGCCTTTGCATTAATACCGGTGCTAAATTCACTTTGCACAATCCTGGTGATACGGCCGTTCCGCGAAGCCGTAATGAGGCCATTTTTGAAGACAAAGCCGGCCGTTTCAAGGAGCAGTGTCACATAATTGTTCCTTGGTGGAAAATAAGATATGAAATTCTGCAATCGCTTTGTGTGGCCGACTGAGATTGTAATAAAATTTTACTATTTTAAAAATGAACGTTCTGGCATACAATACACTTTGGGTTGGTGTAACTCTGTTTTCCTTCGGGATTATATGACCAATTTGGACATGTTTTGAGAAGCATTAGGTCGTCACAAATGAAAATTTAATATTATTTAATACTCTTGAGGACGAGAGACTGGAAGGTCCTTTCAAGAATTTTCATGCGTGACGAGAGTGTGAATCTTCCGTATTTCTATTTCACATCTGTCTGACGTGACACATGAGCTCTTTATGGGATGTGGACCCAGCCAGAAGAACGGGACGGTTCAATCGTCACCTTTCTCTTTTCTAACCGGATTTTACGAATCACCGATGTCATAGAATATTGCACTTATAATAACTTGGCGTATAAAATGCATGCGCCACATGCGCATTAGTAATTCCATTCCAATTTTTTTCTCTTTTTATGGTTTAATTCCTTCTTGAATAGTCTTCTTTATCTTCTTCTCACGACTGCTAACTGGTGTCACTTTCCGCCCAAGGCAATTTTCAAAAATCACGACGAAAAATGTCGGGTCTCTAAATTTTCCGTAATTATTTTTCCTTTGAAATTTCGTATGTATGTAAAATCCAAACATCGCTTCTTTGTTTTATCCGTAAACTTCCAAGCTTGGAACCGACAACATGTTGATGTGTAAATAGCTATGCACTTATTGTAGATCTATTTCCCTTTCGTAAAGTACTCGTCCTTGACCAAATTTCAGTTAATGGAATCAAGACCAGGCCCAACGGAAAGTAACCCTTATGCTTGGGACGACGACTTCTCTGACATCCACTATTCAATTTCTGCAGACGAATACGCATACCTATTGCTGTACAATAAGATTTTCCACAGTGTAACCTTTGCATTGGGGGCACTTTTGTCACTGATGATGTTATACTTGATTGTTAAGAAATCAGGAAGAATGCTCCAGAACTATCGGGTAATGCTGATCTTCAACTGCCTTGTTGATATGCAGATCTGCCTGACGCTGTTTGTTGGACAGAGTGTAGGTTAACAAAACGTAAGGGATGAATGTTAATTTAGTCCACAAAAACTGTGGATGGTATGTTGCTGGTGTCCTACGAAGGCATTGGAGGGAGCTTCAGTTTCACTGGTCAATGCATGTTGGGCGGAATGTTTGCGGCGTGTGTTAGCGTGGCAATAATTAGTTTGCCAGCCAACTATTACTATCGCTACGATTGTATAAAACGGCAAGTTTTATAGTTAATATTGGCGGGGCTTGGAGTTCTGAAAATGTGAGAGGTATTATTGAACCTATATTGACAATAACAATCACAAGGCGCACAAAAATGTTTTTGAAGGCCTCTTTGTATGTTAAAATTTCAGAGGTCATCCTCTCGACTTCAACGGACTCATTCTCCTCTACTCCGGCGTCTACCTAGCCACACTTCCACCAACCTTTGGAGTCTTCTATACCTTCAATCATGATGGGGCTTCTCGCCCTGGCTTCAATTATGGAACGCTGTGGTTCGACGTCAAGCCCCTTCCAACACTACTCATTTTGGATTTTGTAAGAAGGATGATTAAAATTTTATTCAAAAAATTCCAGAATTTGAAGAGGACCAAGTTGTTTATTGTCTACGTGTTCATTTGTTTCTGCATTTCCTACGGATTGGCTATACTGTTTGCCATGAAAACTCTAAAGATACTCCACGATGGGATGACAAAGTATAGTCAACGGACAATCCAGCTGCAGCGACAACTCTCCTTGGCCATGCTGGCGCAGGTATTTGAGTCTAGAAGATTCTAATTTTATATTTTCAGTCAGTTCTACCGATCTTCGTCTCCATAGGCCCAGTTACTGTTCTTATAATTCAAATTGTCTGTGGATTGAACAGTGATGTCGTAACAACGATTGCTTTCAATGCCTTTGCCATGATACCGGTTCTAAATTCACTTTGCACAATTATTGCAATCCGACCGTTCCGCGATGCCATCCTGCGACCAATTTTCAAGAAATCAATCAATTCTGTGTCCGAAACACAGCAAGCGAAAACAAATAACATGTCGGGATAAGCACGTGGGTCATGGATTCCAGAGACGCAATAAAATAGTATCAATTCTTTTGTCGTATTCCCAAGAAACTTTTATGAAATTGAAGTCCAAATACTAACGCTAGAGTACCACTGTTCTCCTTCAATAACATAGCACTTTTTGATTTGTTCTTGTATTGTATACTGCAAAGTTAAAGCCCCTTATTTCTTTGATACACACCGTACATCAAAATTTTCATGTATGCATTGTAAGCTCAAGGGAGTAACAATTACTGATTAAATTATCAAAACTTGTAATTTCTTGCATTTTTTTGAGAATTGCTAGTTAATTTAAACTTAATTAGAATCTTAAATCCAATAACACACTTTGCCGGTGAAAATGGCCGTGCAAAAAAATAAAATGAAACATGAAAATGTTTAGACAGAAACATAATTTATTCCAAGGTTGTAGAAACAATTTGCTGAGCATTTACCACGCTTTCATGCAAGGTTAAACAATGTTTTTTGGACTAATAGAATCGATCGATTCAAGGAACCCTTATGCCTGGGATGCTGATTTTTCTTATATTCAATTTTCGTTATCCGCCGAAGAATATTCAAATATTCTTTTTGGCAGTTACATATTCCATGTGATAATATTTGTTATGGGAATGCTATTATCTTTACTTTTGAGCTACTTAATTTTCAAAAAGACAGGAAAAATGCTCAAAAACTACCGAGTAATGTTGATGTATAACTGCTTCGCGGACGTGCAGCTCTGTCTTTTTGCTTATGCCGTTCAGTATGTAAGTCCAAGGTCCTAAAGTGCTGTTACAAAATAACGTTTGATTCGTTTAGTCGATTAAAATTGTGGACAATTTGATACTTGCCTCGTTGGAAGGGCCTGGACGCTACTTTAATTTTGATGGCCAATGCATTGTCAACTCGTTGTTTGCGCTCAGCTTGAGTGTGGTCATAACGAGTCTGCCAGCTAATTATTACTATCGATACAGCTGTCTAAAACAGTAATTTTAAACTTAAGAAAAGTTTCAACTTGACCGTTATTTATCCCAAAATGCTACAAAACAATTTCAGCAACCGTCCTCTCACCGGAAAACGGCTGTTTCTTTTGTATTTTGGCGCTTACATCGCTGCATTGCCTGTTACTATAGGGGCTACTATTTCTTTCCATGAAGATGGAAAATCAAGGCCTGGTTTCAACTACGCAATGTTATGGTACGATGTGAAACCAATCCCAACATTAATGATAATCGATTATGTAGGCAACTGTATTCTTCTTTTGCCATTTTCTCTTTTATTTAGCGCCAGCCGATCACAAAATTTTACATAACCTACACATTTTTGACTTATGGAATTTCTTATGGTATAGCGATCTTTTTCGCTGTAAAAACTGTAACAATTATTGACAAAGAACAAGAGAATTACAGCAGCAAGACGTTGCAACTTCACAAACAACTCTCCAGAGCCATGTTTTTTCAGGTAAAAATAAATTTTCGGCAAAACTTCAAATATATTACCTTCAGGCAGCTCTTCCTATGTTTGTCTCTGTTGGACCGTCCACAATTATTATTATTCAAATGGTTTTTGAGATAAATTGGGATGTCCTTACATCGGTCATGTTCAATTTATATTCTTCAATCCCGGTGTTAAATTCCATCTGCACAATGATTGTGATTCGTCCGTTCCGAGAGGAGATTATGCAGAAAATATTGGGGAGAACCTATACTCAATCAGTCCGAACTTCGTCTGACCCGCAGGGAACTGGAAATGAAACCCAATAAAGATCGTCTATGTTATATTATACATGGTAATTATGATGACAAAAAAAATTTTTTATGCATCAGTCGGCAGACACCAGGAAAATCTCAGACTTCTAAATTTTTTAATTAAAGGAAGCAGCAGAGAATTGCTCCGAGACGAGCAAGTCGGGGACACGGAGTCCAACAAAATTGTTTTCTTGGGCTGTAGTCCTCCTTGCCCTTGAATCAAACTTTCACACTTTGAATTATCAGACCATTCTTGATTGCATATTTATAGAGTTGTGAATATTAGGTTGAGAGAATACGTAATTTTGAAAAAATTAAAATCAAAAGTGTGCGTTATGTTCGATGTTATTATACATAGTTCCAAAAGAAAAGCAGAGGAGTAAACACGTACACTCGATCTTTGGCACGGCATGTGTAGCCGAAAAAAATGTTATTGGATTAACAGGCTAACTAAATTTGAGGTAGCAAATATTCGCGAGGACTGTAACCAATTACTGAGTAGAATTCCTGTTATTTGTCTTTTTTTACCTGCAGCCAACGCAATTACCGCTCTGTAAATATAATACATGCGATTGTGAATATATATGACGAATGAGTCATTCCTCACAACTAAGCGACTTATTTTGCATAAAATATCAATCACGACCGGTGAAAGACTGTTTCCTTGTGTAGGCGGCAATTCCGATAATTCGTCTATGAAAGGAATGGACTGCTTTTAACCAGGTATTTGTAGCAATTACTTAACGCCTTTGTGTTTCTATTGTTGCAATTACCGTGTATTACCCAGAATTCATACTTTGGTTCTGTAGGCTTATGTCTGATGTGAGAGGTATTTTTATGCCACATTGTCCAAAAAAGGACACTGAACTACGTCAAGGATGAACTACGGCCCTTCTCCAAACTCTCCTTTCTCTTGGGATGCGGATTTCTCCAATATTCTATTTACCACAACCGCTGAAACCTATCAGCACATTCTTGACTGCAGCTGCATTTTTCATGTGACAACTTTTGCCCTTGGAATACTGCTTTCGGTCCTTTTATTCTACTTGATCTTAAAAAAGACGGGGAAAATGCTCAAAAACTATCGGATGATGCTGATTTATAACTGCTTTGTGGACACACAGTTCTGTCTTTCGGCATATGCTTGTCAGTTTGTAAGTACATATATCACTGCCCTTCAAAGAAAACTTGATTTTAGTCCATAAAAACGATTGACAACTTGATTATCGCCTCATTGGAAGGGCCTGGAAAGTATTTGAACTTTGATTGGCAAGTCGTTGTGAATGCGTCATTTGCATTCAGTTTGAGTGTGGTTGTAACCAGTCTCCCTGCCAATTATTATTACCGATATAGCTGTATCAAACAGTAAGCACAAGACTGAACTTTTCTTTCTTTGAAAACAGTAACTTTATTTTCTGTTTTAGCAATCGACCTCTTACCGGCAGTCGATTATTTCTTTTGTATTCTGGCGCTTATATTGCAGCAATGCCGGTGACATTCGGCTCAGGGATTTCGTTTCACGAGGATGGAAAATCAAGGCCTGGATTTAACTTTGGAATGCTTTGGTATGAAGTCAAACCCGTACCGTCGCTCATGATCATAGATTTTGTAAGACTTGAGGAGTTTTGAAGCGCTGAAACGTTAGATAGAAAAACCTTATGCATTTATAAACATGTATATATAGAAGTTCTTTTCCAGCGGCGACCGATCACCAAATCGTTCATCATCTACACCTTCCTTTGCTTTGGCCTTTCGTATTTTTTATCCGTCTTCTTTGCAATAAAAACGATGACAATTATCCGCAGCCAGCAGAGTCGTTACAGCAGCAAGGCCGTTCAGTTGCAAAAACAGCTTTCAACCGCTATGTTCTTGCAGGTACCCGGAATATTTCAAACGAAATGTAATTTTAAGGCAGCTCTTCCAATGTTTATATCCGTGGGTCCCTCTACCGTCACTATCATTCAAATGGTATTTGACCTGGATTGGGACATCCTGACACTCGTGATGTTCAACTTATACGCTCTGATCCCGGTGCTGAATTCGTTGAGTACGATCATGGTGATTAGGCCGTTCAGAGAGGAGATCATAGGGAAGATTCTGAGGAAAAACACGACCTTTTCAATGACGGGTTCGAACACTATGTAAAGTATATAAATTAATAAAGTAAAGTATTTACATATGCACATTTATCCTGAGAAAATCGGAAAGCAATTACTAAATAAAGCAAAATGCTGAAAAATTTGTGATTAATGGTCGGCCAGCAGCTGCGATTCATGAGTTTCATATGACTCACAAAGTTTCTCAATAAAATTAACTAGCGTCTGGAAGCGATTGAAATTGGTAAAAAAAATCTCCCCAAATCCTGCAAACAAGAACCCCTTCAGTCCCAAATTTTCAGAGAATTTTGTAGAGCGACCTATTAAAAACGCCACAACTAGAAACCTTCTTCCGGGCTTGCGTCAAATTTTGGTTACACCTATTTTCCGCAAACTCAAAGGCCCTTCGTACATCAAAATGCAAAAAATTTTTTATAACAACTGACTTACAAAAATTTACATTTTATAAGCTGCAACGAGCGCATCTTGCACCAAACACGAGCATCGCGGCGACAGCGAAAAATCTTTGATCTGTTTTCCTACGAACTGATATGGTTGTGATTCAGAGTGGTCTCTACCGACAACACTTGACCTTTTCCAACAAGAAAAATTATTTTTTACAAAAGCAGAGGTGTGACTTCTAGTTACAAATAATTTTTATACAGTCTACTAACTATCAAGTCAAAACAAAATCTCAAGTGTTTTCTGACCTGCTCTTTTTCAAAAACAATTTGTTTTTCCAAGCAAATGCCTGGAAGCCATTTTGTTTTCCTTCGGTTTTCTCCACAGTGTTTCAAAACAACATAGAGAGGAGGAAGGAAAAACAACTCCCTTCCCCTCGCTGTTTACGTGATGTTATTCTCGTTCGTTTCGCAATCCAGCGCAGTTCCCTCGCGGGAGGATGCTTTGCATCGGTCTCACAAGGTATTGCAATGTTTTTTCTGCCGGGGAATTTGAATATATTTTGGGTATTGTGAGCAGAATTGGAATGGGACGAACGTCCGAAGGTATTTTTTTTTTGAAGGATATGCGTTGGGGCAAGTTGTTTGCTGGTTAACTTTTTTAAATCCGCTTTTTAAAATTTTTTATTCAATTTGATAGGCAATATAAAACCTTGATTTCCTGTTTTAAAAGAGGCTTCCAGTGCAGCTTTCCCATTGCAATTTTAGCTAAAATTACAGACGATGACGAAACAGGCGGAAAATTTTTTTAAAACACTTTAATTTTACATAGTTGCATTTTTCAGACCTGCAGAATTTGACTGCTAGAGTAACCCGGCAGAATTGAAACAGTTTTAAATATTCTCCTGTATGTTCATAGATTATTTTCCGGCTCATAATGCCCATTTAACGCTTAAAATTAGCATGTCCAATGACTTATTTTCTGGAGAAACTGAAAGGTGATTTTAGTGCTCCACCGCCAAAACAAACCATATTTTTTTTACATTAGACGTCGCGTCCTTGTAACCCAAGTTTTCTTGGACATTTTATCTTTCTTTACCAATGATTCGCCACGTACAGCTTTTATTATATTTCCAAGCTGTTATATTTTCGCGCATTCTATTTATCTATTTCGCTGGAAATTTTGAAATATCTATGACCGCAACAAGTCAAACATTTTTAAAGTTGTTCAGAGAATCTCAAACCCTTGTCCAGAACAAAATGTTGTCCGGAGAGCGACAGCAAAATATACGGGTAAATGATGACATAGAAGAGGGTCCAGTCCCGGAAGGAACACGTCGTGTTCAAGAAGACAATACCGACTATGTTTATTTAGGGGGTGATCGAAGAATGAAGGTGAGCGATTTTTTGAGGAATTAGACTTTCTGGCATTATAGAAATTTCCAGAAAAGATATCATTTAAATCGCAAACTTTGTATCAAAAGTTATTTCTGACAATGAGGTATTTAAGAACCCATTTTGGGTTGTTTTCTGACACCTCTGCCAATTGTTTAGGACGCATATTTCTCTTTAAAAATTCAGATCTTATTTTATGTCTCTTTTAGCACAAAATCAAGGCCTCATTGCCTTTTTTCATCTATGCCACAGAGGGATTTTTGTTCTCCAATAATAACTGTTTTTTTCAGAAACGAGTTGCTTTTCAAATAATCATCGCCGTCATCGCTGCTTTGATTATCATCGGTTTGGCCACAGCCTTCTTTACGACAATCCATTGGTGATGGATCACATTCTAATTCGCATAACGTCCACATTTCATGTACATAAGTCTTAATATTAACACTTGTTCAATGCTTGGTCATAATAAGAATATAAAAATCCGAAATAAACGTTTGTGCAATTAATTCGTTCTGTTTTGTCTTCTGCACCGTGCAACTCAAAACATTCGCTGTAAATGATTATTCAGAGGGTTGTGGATCAGAAAAGAAGACTAATTGTGTAGAAAAAGGGTTAAAAGAAAACATAATCAAAATTTCAAATTCAGGTTTTCAACGCACAGTGCAGAAAACTCAAGTTTCTCTGTTGCACTGTGCAACCGAACAAGCGGTCAATAAGTCATCATAGGGAAAGCAACCGACAAAAAATAATGTTTATATATTGGAAATAAGCATTTTACCTTCAAACTAAAAAATTGGCACAAGAAAAATTGGCCTACAGAGCGCAAGATAATTTTATATTCTGCACGGTGCAAACTACAATGTTTTAGTGCCCATTACAACTATTTAGCGCTATCGCATGGCACGTTCTCACAAAAACAAATTTTTACTATGGCCGACATTTCACTCGTTTTCCGTGAGAAGGTCCCCCCTTTAATGTTTCGAATTGGAATGGTTTTTGAACCAAAGAATACAATTTTCTCCTTTGAATTCGAATTTTTGAGGGATGCGTCCGCTTTTGTGGAGATAGCTGTCAAGTTTTCCATAAATTATGACTCGATGGGGTTGATATTCCTGTTGGAATTGGAATTCTTTATTCAAATTATTGTTTTCGGGGCTTTATTTGGGTTCTGGGGGGAATATTTGAAGGCGACAAAAAGGATGACTATAATAAAATTGTAGAACACTGGCTCGTATTTTACAAGAATCCCTGGGAAAGGTTAATATTTTTTCAATAAAAATTTGATTTTTTTAGGAAAATGGACTTTCAAAGTTGCTGGATGATATTCGAAACATACGATTTGAAATTTTTATTGATGTCGTATGAGCTTTCACTTTAAAAAAACTTAAATTTTGGTTCAAATACCAACCCTATATTATGAGATTTTTTGTTTTTCCGCTAAACTTTTTATTTTTTTCGTTTATTTTTCTCCACAAAGCCCCAAAAAACTTACTAAAATCGTATTTTAGCTGATATAAAAACCATATTCAAGGTTTGAGAATGTTTTCCGAGCCAGAGCCAGGTCAGTCCAAGCGAGCTGAGACGGATTCTCAGCCGAATCAAGTGAATAATCAAGCAGATTCGGCCAATTTCTTCAATTTCTGGGGATTTCTTCGGATCGAGGTGATTTTAAATCCATTTTTTATTCAAATTTCTATATTTTTTTTAGAAACGAGTCGCCTATCAACTAATTTTGGCTGTAATCGCAACTTTAATTGTCATCGCTTTGGCCACCGCCTTTTTCTCCACGTTTCACTGGTAAAATACGATTGTTTTCATACGAATAATTAACCTTTCTGTACATAAATCGCTAATAAAACCAATAAAACCCCGAAAAAGTTGTTAATTCGCAATAAATTCGGGAAATAAGGAAGAAATTGAAAAGAAAACTAGGGAAATTAACAACTTTCCGGCTAATTAGCCACTCCTTGGTGCGGTTGTTTACCTGTGCGACCGAAAGCTGGGTGGGATAATCCGAAATCGGGAGTAAATTGACCCTAACCCTGTTTCGGAGGAGAATTTGGGGAAAAATTAGGGAAAATTAGTCGAAAATTGTCGAAAAAAGTGTTTTGAGAAGAAATAAGTAGGTAATTTGCGCTGATTTCACTTTCTGATTTTTAAAATTTTTTATTCTCATCGATTTTTAGCGACATTTTAACGTTTCAATCAATTTTTCTAATTTCGCACCGTGCAAAGCCATGAGATTGACCTTGCACAGTGCAGTGACAGCCAATTTTTGCACTGTGCAGTCAAACAAATTTTCCAATTTTTGCACAGTGCAATCCATTCAACTTGCTTCTGCACTGTGCAGAAATCCCATTTGCACTGTGCACTCCCTCGCACTCCATGCTCCACTCGCCTCACGGTCGACTGCACGGTGCACCTTGAACTTGTCGCGGCCTTCCCCCTTCTTCCTTTTTTCCACGCCACAATCTCGCGCACTTCATTTTCGGAAAGTTGAGTGGCCTCAATTCCGTCGCCGACCTCGGAGCGAGTTTCTGTGCACCGTGCGGAAAATTCCCCCCTTCCTTTTGGGTTCTTTGTTTTTGTCGCCACACAATTTTGTTTTCACGGTGCGAACGCACTCTTTCTCCGATGACGACTGCACTGTGCGGTGGGTGTTTTGAGGATTTTGCGGGGAAGGAAAGGGGGGAAAGCAGGTCGTGTCGTTTCCATGGATGCGATGGGATTTGCAGAAAAACGGGGAAATGGAGATTTGGGTTGGGAAAGGAGCGACAAACACGGCCAAAGGTCTTGTTCCTGTCGCCGGAGATGAGCGACAAGTTTTGACGACCCCAAACTCCCCCGTGGATTGACCCTCAAACCCGTCGCAAACCCAATTTGGCCTCCCATGCGATCCTTTCGCCCTCAAATTTGGGCTCGCATTGCGCAATCTCGAGATTTCGCGACTTGGAGATGCGACTTCCGGACCCACTTGGAAATGCATCGCCTCCGAGATTGCGCATTCATTCCTTTTGAAATGCACAGTGCACTCGTTTCCGCATTCGATTCATCGCCGATTTGAAAGCTGCGGGGTGCAAGGAGAATGAGCTTCAAATTTCACAGTGCGGGAGTTGGGACAAAAATTTTGGGGTCTGGTTTTCTGCACAGTGCGAGGTTTGCGATGTGATTCAGAGGATTGGATTTTGCACAGTGCGAAATCTGCGACAAGACTCTGCATGGATTTTCCTGCACTGTGCATTCATTTTTGATTGTCGCGATGCTGGTTCATTTTGAGATTCGGGTTCCCCGCGCATTTCATTTTTTTCTTCTGCACTGTGCGGCGGTCAAAATTTTTGAAACAATTTCACAGTGCAAAAAAATCAATGTGAAAACATTTTGCACTGTGCACTGTGCGATCTTTCGCACAGTGCTGAACTTGCTTTCCCATTGCACAGTGCAAACTCATTTCTCTTCCTTTTTTCCCTTGCACCGTGCATTTCGTCATTTCGCAAGCCACTAACCAACTTTCCGTTTGCACGGTGCGCTAGCAAAAAGTTCTGGAAAGTCTTTGTTTTGAGGCCAAATTTCGGGGCTTTTGTCCACAAAAGCGCGACGGATCGATTTCGTGGACGGGCTTAGTGGGGTCAGGGCGGGGTATTTGATTATTTCTCGAGTCTGTTTGATCAAAGTTTGGGTTTGAGCGACTTGACTTTTGGTCCGAGCAAAAGACTTTGGGTATCTACTGGAGTGAGATGATGGAGATCGAGGTTATTAGAAGGGTCTGTAAACATAGTAATCATCAAAAATCGGGGGTTTTGTGCTGTCATTAGACGACTTTAAAAGGCAGGCTTTTGAGGTGCCAAAAATTGATGATTTCTTTGGGAAAAGTGTAAAAATTTCAAAATTTCTAGCGATAACTCGGTCATAATTTTTTAATGATGTATCGGTCATGGTCCAATTTGAGTACTAAAAGTGAAATTTGCAAAAGTTATTTGATTTTTGATATTTTTTTTTTAATTTTGAAATTTTCGAATTTTTCGTCGAAAAAACCTAAAAAAGAAAAATTGTTTTAATGATAAGTAAGTTTCAAAGATTATTTCATTATATTTATCAATTATTTTGCACTTTTTTCATGTCTTTTGTCATTATTTTTTGATTCTCCCACTAATTATCCTCGAATTTTCGACTCAAAACTGCCCTCCGAAGGTTGGCAGGTAGGTCAACGACTGTATTATAACGTGAAGAAGACTCCACTCCCTGTTTTCTCGTTTAGTCACTGGTTAATCCGCCTTTGCGAAATACGGAAAATCATCGGGAATTGTTTTATTTTGCAAAAAAATGGTCGACAGTACGCGGGTTTTGAAAGTTTTTGCTTACACATTGCCTGTGAAAGGGAGGGAAAGTGTGGGGATTTGAGAGATTGGTATAATAATTTACGGGGATTTGGGAAGATTTGACGATGCCTTGATCCTTATAGTCTGCTCTTTTTAGTGGGGTTTTTGTAGGAAAAGGTCAAAAATCGAGGTCTTTGATGATTACAAAAATTTGCAATCATTTGGAGCTATGTATATTCGTTTTTGAGAAAAAAGAATTTTTATCCGTCGTAACAGGAGCTTGTATTTAGTCGATTAATATCAAATACCCCTGATTTTTTTCTATTTTTTGGTTTAAAAATTGATTTTTTTCCACTGGCCTAACATTGAGGTTGCAAATTTACTTTCCTTCAAATTTAGTACATACATTTTCCTTATTAAACACATTTTTTATAATTCTTTTTGTCGTACTGTAGCCTTGATTTAGCCTCTTGTTTGCCGATAAAGAAAAGAGTGATGAAATAAGTTACTTGAAAGCCCCCCAAAAAGGCTATGATTCATGGTAATGTTAGGAGAAAAAACACTTGAAGACTGACTTTTCCGTTACTGTGAATGCACCCAATTATTTCTCCGTCCCACATATTTCGAGGGGATTTTTATGATTTTTGCTTTCAAACTCTTTTTTTGCTGAAAAAATGGAATTTCAAAATTCGGGGGAAAATTCGAATCTTTAATTTTTGACATGGTTTTAACTTGGTTTTAAATTGGAGTACAATTTACTAGCTTTTTTACTATTTTTTGATGATTTTTAAAAAATAAAATTTTTATTTTTTCGACCAAAAAGTGCAAATTTAAATTTAAAAAATTTGATTTTCAGTTCAATTTAATTTTTGCCGAAGAACTTTATTATAGTACACTGTTATGTTTTTCAAATTTTTCTTTCTGAAGATCTCATTTTACATCTTCTTACGAACCGATCTCGGTAATTGAGAAAATCTTATTTGTCTAGTCGGCGAAGAATCTCTCGGAGATTTATGTGTTGGAAAAATGAGAAGAAATCCTTCCAAAATTATGCAAATTTGAAAAGAAAACAAGTAAAAAAGTGGTCGTCAAGGTGTCGGAACGTGAGATTCGGCAGGTGGAATGGGAATGAAGGTGGTCGGCGGATTCTTGTCGAGGGCGATTTAGTAAGAGTTTGTATTCTGGTAATTCACGATTTCAGGGTTTATAGGATTTTTTAGGATGGAAGGGAGAAGGTGACGAATAGAAAAAAGTAGATGTTTGAGGTTGTGGTAGGTCGACAGGGTTGCTCTTATATCTCGGCTTCTCTTGCAAAAGGCGAACTAGAACTTTGGGCAATTGATATGTGGCCCATACCCGATGTGTTTGCCAAATCTAGCAAAAATCCGAGAGTCGCACTTTTGAGTACTTCGTTGCCAAATAAATTAGCTACCTATTGGATTGTTCAGAACGTAGTGGACGTTTTTGTCCCCACCCCGGTTTTGTCCCCAAGACGGTTTTGTCCCCAAGACGTTTTTGTCCCCAGTTTTTTTATTTTTTTGTCCCCACACCGGTTTTGTCCCCAGGACGTTTTTGTCCCCAAGCTGGATAGTACGATTAAAAATTATGCATTCAGATGTTAATGCTGTTGGTTTGGTGCACAGTACTGCTCAAACAACTTGTTCTTAGCGCTTGGTACTGTATAGTACGAGGTGGTACTATATAGCACGAGGTAAAAATTAAGCCATAACACGTCAATGCTATGGGTTTGAAGCCCAGTGCTTCTCAAAAATGTGTTTTAGCACATGGTACTATATAGCACGAATTTGTTTTTGCACAAAATGAACGTCTGATCAGTACTGCATACCAAAACAACGTCATTCACGCGTTATAGCTTAATTTTTACCTCGTGCTATATAGTACCACCTTGTACTATACAGTACCAAGTGCTAAAAACACATTTTTTGAGAAGTGCGGGGCTTCAAACCAACAGCATTAACGCGTTATGGCTTAATTTTTACCTCGTGCTATATAGTACCACCTCGTACTATACAGTACCAAGCGCTAAGAACAAGTTGTTTGAGCAGTACTGTGCACCAAACCAACAGCATTAACATCTGAATGCATAATTTTTAATCGTACTATCCAGCTTGGGGACAAAAACGTCCTGGGGACAAAACCGGTGTGGGGACAAAAAAATAAAAAAAGTGGGGACAAAAACGCCTTGGGGACAAAACCGTCCTGGGGACAAAGCCGGTCTGGGGACAAAAAGGCTCGAAAAAAGTGGGGACAAAAACGTCCTGGGGACAAAACCGTCTTGGGGACAAAACCGGGGTGGGGACAAAACCGGGCCCAATCGTTCAGAAAGTCCCGTCGTCTTTTTATTCTTTTGTTTTACAAGAATTTGTTAATTATTTGGCAATGTGAATATATTCATTTGATACAGCTTTTTCTCCTCTACAAAACTGTGCTTCTAGTTTTTTTTGAAAATCTAATTTTTGATTAT